CACATCTGGTCATTTCCAGTGCACTTGAAAATAATTTGTACTCAATTTTTGTTGAGTCAAGTGTCTTAAACATAATAAATTATGCAGATTGTATTAATTGAATTGTTCAAAACCTCTATGGCTTGATGGATTTTTAACTCTTATTTTATTAGTTATTCAATGAATTATGCTAAACTTGTTCTACAATTATCAATTTGTTAATTTCTTTTGTTGTAGTTCCATCAGTTTTTTGTTTCATATATTTTTAAAGTATGTTATCAGGTCAGGCACAGTGGCTCAAATCTGTAATCCTAGCACTTTGGGAAGCAGAGGTGGCTGGATTGTTTGAGGTCAGGAGTTTCAGACCAGCCTGGTCAACATGGTGAAACCCCACCTCTAGGAAAAATACAAAAATTAACTGAGGTTGGTTGTGGGCACATTTAGTCCCAGTTACACTGGAGGCTGAAGCAGGAGAATCACTTGAACCTGGGAGGTGGAGGTTGCAGTGAGCTGAGATCATATCACTGTACTCCAGCCTGGATGACAGAGTGAGACAGTCACAAAAACAATAATAAATAAATAAATAAATAGTATGTTATCAGATATGAAAAAATCTAAGCATTATTATGTCTTTTTGATAGATTTCAGACTACCATACTAAAAGTCCTTTTTTATTTCTAGAAATGATTTTTGCCTTAGATCTACATTTTCTAATATCAGTATTGCTAAATCAATTGATTTTTGGTCTCTGAGATAATTTTTTTATTCTTTTCTTTACAAATTTTCTGTACTTTTATGTTTTAGATAAGCCTTACAGAGACAGAATATAGGTTTTTTCTTTTGCTTTTGTATTTATTTATTTATTTGTTTGTTTGTTTGTTTGTTTTTTAGTGTAGTGTAAAAAACTTTATAAGAAGCCAGGCATGATGGGTCATTCTTGCAATTCCAGCACTTTAGAAGGCCTAGATGATCAGATCGCTGAGGCCAGGAGTACAAGACCAGCCTGGGCAACATAGTTAAACTCCGTCTCTACAAAAAATACAAAAATTAGCCAGGAGTGGTGGTGTGTGTGTCTGTAGTCTTACTCAGGAGGCTGGGGCAGGAGGAGCACTTGAGCTGGGGAGGTTATGTTAAGGCTGCAGTGAACTGTGACCCCCACACTTCAGCATGGTTGATAGTGAGACACTGTCTTAAAAAAAAAAAAAAAAAAAAGGCCGGGCGCGGTGGATCAAGCTCTGTAATGCCAGCACTTTTGGAGGCTCCGAGAACGGGCGGAAATCACCGAGGTCCCAGAGATCGAGACCATCCTGCTAACACGTGGAAACCCTGTCTCTTACTAAACAGCATTAAAAAAAAAAAAAAAAAAAAAAAAAAACTATGCCGGCGAGGTGGCGGGCTGGCCCTTGGAGTCCATGCTACTCGGAGGCTGAGGCAGTGAGGAATGGCGTAAACCCGGGAGCGAGCTTGGCATGAGCTGAGATCTGGCCCACTGCACTCCCAGTCCTGGGCGACCAGAAGCAAGACCACCGTCTCAAAAAAAAAAAAAAAAAAAAAAAAAAAAAAAAAAGAAAAAAATCTGTGTAAGATTGCATTTGTTCTATTTACCTGCTGTATAACTAGTACTTTGTTTTGATTACATTCCACCACCTTACCTTGTGCCTTACATTTTTCCGTCACATTTGTTTCTTTTTAATCTCCTTTTCTTTTAGGTTGATTATAAAATTATTTTTTCTGTATGTTTATTTTGAAGTTTTATATATTTCACTAACATAGTTATTTTTCTTTACTTATAGTAAGCGATTGCCTGAAAGATCATAACATTTGCTAAAGTTTTTACTTTACAACAGTGGCTCAGAGTATTTTGTAGACCCTTGAATGTTCTTTGGATACTTTTCAAGGATCCAGAAGGTCAAAACTATTTTCGTAGTAAAATGCAGATGGTATTTGCCTCTTTAACTCTAATTGTTTCATAGGCATAAAGTGAAAGTTTTCCAGAAGCAAAATGATTTTGCTATCACAGGAGAGTGAATGTGGAAACATATACTAGAAATCATCTGCCTTCTATTAAACCAGTCGTTAATGTACATGTTTTTCCTGTCTTCTTATCCCTTTTACTATGCTCTTTGCTGTCTTTAGTTTTCTGAAGACACTTGCCAAAGTGCCTCAGTGTGTTTATATTTATCTAGCTTTTGTTTTGTTTGTCTTCTGAATCCGTGTATTGACTTCTTTTTATCTATTTGCAAAAATTCTTAGCCATCATCTCTTTCAATATATTTTCTGTTCATTCCCTTTACTGTGCTTGGGTTGGGACTCAAATTTGAAGTTCTATACTTCTCAGTGTAACACCTTTTTCTCTTACTCTCATATATGTTTTTTCCAAACTTTTGTCTCTCCAATCATCATTCTAGACATTTTTACTGAGCCATCTTTCTATTCACTAATTATTTCTTTACCTGATTTTTAATATGTTGTTAAACCCAACTTTATATTTCATAAATATTTATTTGTCTAATTTCTAAATGGAACATTTTATAATCTATTATCTCAGATATACTCTGATGAAAGTTTCAATTTTGTATCTTATATTCTTATACATAGCAAACCTAGGTAAATTAATGCCTGTATTAGAAAATTCCAATATCTGAAATGCCTAAATATTCAGTTCTGCTGTCTATTGTTTTTATTCTTCATGTTTTTCTCCTGATGTACTTCATGAAGTTTTATTTCCTTATATTCTTAGTTATTTTTATTCTCTTCCAAGAAACAGTTCTTATGAAAATATATTGACATAAGTAATGTTATTGTCATCCAGAAAAAAGTTTCCATTTTCTTGAGTCAGGAGCCTGAGAGAATGCCAGGATCATCATAAACCATTTCAAGCTTGATATTTTCTGGATCATCTCAATGGCTTAAATATGAGTTCCAGTCCTGGCAAGGGCTTGATGACTTCTGCCTTAACTTTGTAATTAGGATGCAGATATTTCTGATCTTAACTAAACGCAGAGCATGTTTACTAAGGCCTCCACATGTGGAGGATTCTGGACTTTAACCTTTTGATCCAAACCTGTGAGACTGGCCAATGTAGCTGATTATCTTATGTGACATTTCTGTGTAGAAAGCACACCTATGGCAAAGGTTGACCCCACATTTGTATTAATGATTAACCTCTCTCAATTTTCATATTACTATAAATTTTTCCTGGTTGTCCTTTAATAGCTTGTAAAATATCTAGTTGCTTTAAGCATATTCTTTTCCAGTTTCCTAAGGTAACATTAGACGGTAGGTTGTCTATATTCTCTAATATGCAACTACTGGAAGTAAACTATAATATCCTTTTATTTTAACTCATGTAATTATTCTGACACATTAAATATATATTAAACTAAGTCATACTTTTCTTTATGGGATGGTTATCTATTAAGCTTCATTTATTCTTTCAAAATTGTGTTGCTATCTGATCAACTATACCTGACCATATAAGCAATACAAAATTGTCAGTTATTATAGCTGGTTCTTATTATGTTATTATTAACCAGTGAAGTCTCTATGTAATACGTATGTTAATAATCTAAAAGATTACAGAATACATTATATAATTAATAGAGCAAGGCATCTTGGTTCAAATTCCAATTCTAACTTGTATCAAGTTTGTTTCATTTATTAAGCTAATTTATTTATATCACAATTCCTTAATTTGTTAACTCAGGGACTTTATAGCTCAGAGGCTTATTGTAAGACAAACTGAGATAATGAGATGGTGAATAATCCAATTATTTTAGAGAGTAAACATAATTAATGGAAAGAAGATGGGATCCATGAATAGACGACAGTAATATTTCAAATCCTGTGTTTCAAAGTCTTGCATTGTTATTAGTCAACTGTCACCACATTAATGCTGCACAACAAACCACCCCCTTACTAGCTGTAATACAACAATAAGTATTTCTTTCTTTCTGAAAGTGACCTGATTGTTATTAGCCACCAGTTTGGAGCTAGCTGGGCTTGGTCCAGGTGTTAAGCTGAACTCTGGTCTGCTGCACTTGTTCCTATCCTGGGTATGAGTTTTTCATGGTAATGGCAAAAGCACAAGATGCTAAGCTAACTTTACTCGTGATACATTCATGAATATCCTATTGATAATAGAAGGTCTCATGAGCCAAAGAAAAAAATTATCTAGGAGGAGGAGTTAACTCTGCCAACCATAAAGCTAACATAAATTATATGAAGTGGGAAGTATATCCTCCCACATAGAGTTGTGATGAAAAAGAAATGGAATGCCACATGAATATGTTGCTAGAAATGTCATACTCATTTATTGTTTATGTATATGTTTGACTCTCACGAAAATCAGATCATAGAAAGAGAGGAGTGACTCATCTCACAAAATCTTTGTTTGGAAATCGATCTGCCTTTATTTAAGCACTAGAGGCTAAAGAATTGATTTCAATGCCATTTGATATATGAATACACTAGCATAAATTGTATTCATCTAAGATCAATGATTAAAAGGAGGACATTTATTATTCTCCCCTGTCACACAGAGAGGAGAAGTGGTCCACCGCGCTAGTGGTAATGCCATAAGATGTCTCTCTGATTTACTTTCTTTACTCACTTCAACATTGTGTATTAAAGCACATTCCCAATTAATAAAATGTCAGCAATTGGTAAACTAGTGTGATGCATCAATGAATTCTACTACAAATAAGTCTTTTTTTTCTGTAAGAATTGGTAGAGTGGGAAATATAATCCATGGCAGGTTGGATGGCATAAGTATACACTTGATAAATGCTGATGGAAATGTATAAGAAATTCTTATGAGAGGTTTACATTCATTTACTGAAGGTAAATCTGGTTTAGTGTACATTTTTCATCATTTAATTTGATAATTTTATGTGAGCTTTTAATACTACATGAAAAAATATCTAAAATATTTTTAATATTTACATCTAAACATTTTTTAGACATAAGATATATTAAAATAAGAAGTTTTTGACAGTTGATTGTATTCCATTTTCTTGCAGATTGTCTACATGGGCTGGTGTGAAGCCCGGGAGCAAGACCCACTTCAGGACAGAGTGTACTCTCCGACCTTCCTGGCCCTGAGAGGCTCATGTCTCTACAAGTTTCTAGCACCTCCAGTAAGTGTTTTATCCAAATTTATTGCTCTTTTCCATATTATCACAAGAGATTGACACTAACTTAACGGTACCAAATAGTATGCTATCAATATTTTTTAAAAATAATATAGAGAAAAAAATAGAAATCAGTTTATCTGATTTAACTTACTAAAAATGTATGTTCTGCCGGGCTCGGCCCGGTAATCCCAGCACTTTGGGAGGCCGAGACGGGCGGATCACGAGGTCAGGAGATCGAGACCATCCTGGCTAACACGGTGAAACCCCGTCTCTACTAAAAATGCAAAAAATTAGCCGGGCGAGGTGGCGGGCGCCTGTAGTCCCAGCAACTCGGGAGGCTGAGGCAGGAGAATGGCGTGAACCCGGGAGGCGGAGCTTGCGGTGAGCCGAGATTGCGCCACTGCACTCCAGCCTGGGCGACAGAGCGAGACTCCGTCTCAAAAAAACAAACAAACAAACAAACAAAAAACAATAAAAATGTATGTTCTGACATTAAACATTTACTTTATCACCCTTGAAAAGTCTGGAACTTCTTTATAAATAGTGAACCTATAAAATAATGGATCAAAATATAATGCCATTAAAAATCTCATGAAGACATGGGAAAGGAGATTTTAAGAAACATTTTCAAGCATATGTCAGTGTATTTTGTTTATTGAATATAATTTAAAGAAATGAATATACCAAAAGTGAAATTAAAAAGAGTAAACTGTTTTAGAGCTATGCATGAATGAACATGTTTACTAAACTCTTATTTTCAAAGGATCTTTTGAAAGTTCTTTTAAATTTATTCAGCACTTTTAATTACTAGCAATTTATTATTAGCAAAGGGTAATAAGGAAATCTCAAAATGATAGCACCTTATCTAGCTACTATTAAGTCTATCTCACCATAGTGGCAATCCCATAAGATGATGTAAACTCTCATGGTGTTCAAAGTTTAAATTAGAGGATTCCATCCTTGGCAAACATCATAAATACATTCTGGTAAGCTGTCATTTATGACAGTCAAACTATGTTTATCTATGTTGTACTGGTCTCTCTAAATAAAATCAATAGCATTTTCATCCTCTATTATATTCTGTATCCTAGTTATTGAGTAGATTTGTGTAGATACCTATTGTACCTCAAGTCTTCCTTTTGGAAACATGTACCTTGTAGCTCAGAAGACACTTAATAAATATTTATTGAATATAAATACCAAATACCCGACCAGTCACTTGCAGGTCTAATAATACATAGGATTTAGAAATCATCAGGTCTGATTTGCTGCTGTTTTAAATGTCTGTCTCTACATAGTTTAAAGCACTAGGAAGACAGGAAAAATTAACATTTATATATTTTACTCTATTCCTACTCTGAATAATTTATTTGACAGGGCAGTTAAATATATGTTCCCAACCTAAGTAAGTGAAATAACTGCATTACGCTTTTGGTATGTTTGCAATGTCACAGTCGTCTTGAAATTTCTTAATATAAATGATGTATATTTAAAAAATTAGAGCTGTGCTGAGATCTAGTATTCTCTGTATTTAACTAGTGGTAATTTGAGAAAAAAATTATGAGTGCAGAATGTAAATACTTAGTATTTATAGGTAGACAATACATACATTATTTAAGACACATAAGGACACTGCACAAATGAGAACTGTTACACATAGCATAAATCGTTTGCTGAAAGCATAAGACAAATGGTGACAAAGCGTGGAATAGAGGAAACAAAAGCATTATGTAGGGTCCTTTATGAGCATAGCTTCACAGATGAGAGACTAAGTAGATATATCTGTGAAAATTTTTCTTATTTTTCACTATATTATGCAAATCAAATACAGTGGTAAATAACTTTCTAAAACATATTAAACATTATTTTCTTATCTCTTAAAGGTGACCACCTGGGACTGGACGAGAGCAGAGAAAACATTCTCAGTTTATGAGATTATGTGCAAGATCCTCAAGGTATGATCAATAAGTAGTCAGTATTTGAATGACTTTTCCTCAGCAAATAGTGCCTCTGGGCTCATAAGTAGCTCATGAAAGCAAATGATTCATGGAATGAAAGAAGAGACAAGATAAAGAAAAATGACAGAGAAAGAAAATAAACTAGACAAAAACGAGAAAATATGGAATGCACAGAAGTGCACTGGCACTCAGCTATCTGCTTAAATAACTTGCGAGCAGACTCTGCTGTCCTGCCATGGGTGAGGGAATAGGAAGAAGCTCCTCAGGAGTTCACTGGGGAAGAAAATTCAGTTGAAAGTAGTCTAAATTTAAACATTGGTTGTTACCATGCTTTTTTTTTTTTTTTTTTTTTTAATTCTTTCTTTTCTGAATAAAATGCAAAAGAGAAAGATTTGGGTAAGACTTGGAATTCGAAAATGTAGAAAATACCAAGAAAAATGCAAAGAAAAGTTTTGCTCTTTTGTTCTTAATCTCATGGCTTGACCGTCTTTTTGCATATGTAAAAGAACATTCGATTGTCATATATGAGTTGAATTTCTGCCATATGCAGGATTATTGCAATAGCAAGCCATCACAAATTCTGTAAAATGTCACATGGTTTCTATAGCGTTTTTTAAAGAATTAAAATTGGAATAACCTATAAAACATGAAGACTTTCTACTTTCTTCACTTTCTACTTTAGGGTTTGTAGGCTTGGACTCACCACAGATTGATAATTCAGTTCCTGCATAAGGTTGACTTTGTTTCTGTACCCAAGGGAAACTGACTTCCCTTTGTTTTATGTTAGCTATTTATCTTCCTGTTAAAGACTTAGCAGAATAAACAAATGCTGAAACATTTAAAATACAATAAAATGCATCGCAAGTGTCTGAAGGCAGAGAGACAAAAATTATAATTACCTCAAGAGTGTTCATTGTTTCTGTTCCTTAGAGAACTTTGGATTAAAGCTGAAGTTCTCTGAAGTGCAAAATCCAACTAAGAATAGAGTTCGTCGATTGCTCATCAGTGTGCATGCTTTGAGTTCTTTTGTAGGCGTAATGGACAACGTGAAATACTTGAGTGTATTGTTAGTAAATAATGGTCTGACTGTTTCTTAAACAGCTGCTAGTATCTAAGGAAAAGGAGATCATACCCAACTCCAGTTTTCTGAAACAATTGCCAAAATGGCTAATGAGATAGCTTTTTTTGGATATGGAGTCTTGCTCGGTCACCCAGGCTGGAGTGCAGTGGCGTGATCTTGGCTCACTGCAACCCCCAGCTCACGGATTCAAGCAATTCTCCTGCCTCAACCTCTTGAGTAGCTGGGACTACAGACGCATGCCACCATGCCCAGCTAATTTTTTTTAAATTTTATTTTAGTAGAGATGGGGTTTCACCGTGTTGCTCAAGCTGGTCTTGAACTCCTGAGCTCAGGCAATCCACCCACCTCGCTCTCCCAAAGTGTTAGGATTACAGGCGTGAACCAGCGTACCCGACCAACTGTGTATTTTTAGCAAAGCTACTCATATAATTAGAATAAGAAAAGAAAGAAGGAAAGAAAGAAAAGAAAAGAAGGAAAGGAAGGAAGGAAGGAAGGAAGGAAGGAAGGAAGGAAGGCTTCCCTTCCTTCCTTCTTCCTTCCTTCCTTCCTTCCTTCTCCTTCTCTGTCCCTCCCTCCCTTCCTTCCTTTCCTTTCTTCCCCCTCCATGCTTCCCTGCCTCCCTCCCCTTTTCTCTTTCTTCTTTCTTTCTTTTCTCTCTCTCTGTCTTTATCTTTGTTTGCCTTCTTTGTTTCTTTGTTTGTTTGTTGTTTGTGTCTGTCTTTCTTTCTTTCTTTTCTTTCTTTCTTTCTTTTCTTCTTTCCTCGCCTTTCCTTTTTGCCTGGGCCGTTTCCTCCTTTCTTCTCCTCCCTCCCTCCCTCCCTCGGGCGCGCCGCACTCCCGGTCGGGCCCGCCGCCCCCTGTCGTCTCTCTCCTCCTTCCCCTCTTCTCTTCGCCTCCTTCCTTCCTTCGCTTCTTGTCCCCCTCCTCCTTCTCTTCCTTCCTTTGCTGTTCTTGTCTTCTTCCCTTGTTCGTATTTTTTTTTTAATATGTGTGATCTGAGTGTTATAATTATTATTGTCGGGGCAATCCGGGGGGGGGGGGGAGAGCGAGGGTTGTCGCGGTGGAGTTTGCCTGGAGCGGTCAGGACTTGTCAAAGAGCCCAGCGTTGAAGGGCCGAGACGACGGGGTGAAAACCACGTGACGCTGGAAAAAAGTGGTAAAGATTTTAAAAAAGGATTAGCTGGGCATGGGTGGCATGGCGTCTGTAGTCCCAGCTACTCAAGAGGTTGAGGCAGGAGAACTTTGCTTGAATCGTGAGCTGGGGTTGCATCGATGCCAAGATCACGCCACTGCACTCCAGGCCCTGGGTGACCGAGGCAAGCTCCATATCCAAAAAAAAGCTATCTCATTGAGCCATTTTGGTCCAATGTGTTTCAGAATAACTGGAGGTTGGGTATGATCTCCTTTTTCCTGCAGATACTAGCAGCGTTTAAGAAAACAGTCATGACCGATTATTTAACTAACAAACAAGACACTCAAAGTATTTGCACGTTGTCCATTACGCCTACAAAAGAACTCAAAGCATGCACACTGATGAGACAATCGACGAACACTCGTATTCTTAGCCTTGGATTTTGCACATTCAAAGAAAGAAACTCCAGCACTTATAATCCAAAGTTCTCTAAGGGAACAGAAACAAGAACACTCTTGACGGGTAATTATAATTTTCTGTCTCTCCTCGCCTCAGACACTTTCGATGCATTGTTATGATATTTAAATGTTGTCAGCATTTGCTTTATTCTCGCTAAGTCTTTAACAGGAGATAATACGCTAACGATAACAACAAACCGCAACGTCAGTTTTCCCTTGGGTACAGAAACAAATCAACCTCTGATGCAGGAACCTGGAATTCATCAATCTGTGGTGAGTCCAAGCCTTACAAACCCTAACAAGCTCAGAAAAGTGAAGAACAGTAGAAAAGTCTTCTGTTTATAGGTTATTCCCACATCATTAATTCTCTTAAAAAAACGCACATATAGAAAACCATGTGACATTTTACAGAATTTTGATGGCTTGCTATTGCGAATAATCCTGCATATGGCAGAATTCAACTTCATATGGGGACATCGAATGTTTCTGTTTCA